ATAAAAGAAACTAGATTAAAAAAGCTATTCTTTATTAGTAGATAATAGAGCGTACCTAAAGTTTAAGAATAATAAAGACGCGTACCTATATAAGCACCTAGATATATTAGTATAGAAATACGGGCTATAATAGATATATATATAGTGATATATAGTAGTGTATAGAGTATAGTATTAGAAATGACCTTCTAGGGCTTAGACGTAAGGTAAAGCACTTAGAGACTATAGTTTTTAAAAGGTTTATTAGGGATACTTAAAGACCCCTAAGTCGTCTTTATTCTTTTAGATCTATTAAGCTGCCTATTATAGACATGCTAGTTGCCAATCGATGGCGACCCCATATATGACACGGACGGGCCGCCGAGATCCAATCAACCAAGTCTTACCCGTTCACACCGCCTTGCCGATCCTAGGAGATGGTTTTTCAGGGGGAAAAACCACACCGCCTTCATCTGCCGGATCACGTGATCCTACAGGTAGTAGAACAGTAGATGGTAGATCAGTAGAAAGTGCCAAGGCACTTCTACCATTCTACTATCTACCCATCTATATAGGAAGAACCTAGGGATATATAAGGACACTCATTCATATATCTAGTTTAGTTCTTCGTCTTCAATTTACACATTATTACTAGTGTTTACCTTTAGATTACCAGTGTGACTTCTTACTTAATTATAACTTAACAACACCCATTAGTTAGCTAATACTCCGGTATAGACCCACTAAGCGCTCTACCTAGCATCGTTCCTCGATACCCTCAAAAGGACTCAGCCCGTGTAAGGCCTATTTAGCAACGGTACGGTTAAGAGACAGATCGTTAACGTTAGGATATTAGAGAACCCCTATAAGTATAACCCGTGATCTACTAACCCTAACTATAACTAGTTTGTAGTGCGTAACATATTAAAGACCGTCTTAAATCAAGTATTCAAGTCATAACCTACGATATATCCTAAGCCGGAAGAAAGATAGTTAGGGAGCTAGAAGCGACCCCGCCATCCTCTAAAAGAGAGTAGGATAACTAGGAAGACGAGTAGGAGAGGAAGACTAAGGAGCTATAGTAAAAGGTCGACCTTCTCACCTAGAGGCTTAACGAACTCGGCGAAGGAACTAGAGCTAAGTTCACTAACGTGGATAAATACCTTAAATAGATCAAAGTATAGGTTAGTGTATCGGCACCGGCTAGCGCTATCTAAGGACCCCGACTACCTAAGGTAGAGTGCTTCGAAGGAAACCGAACTAAGCTTCGTAGATTCCTCACTTAGATAGATATACACCTCGATATAAATCAATCTAGACTCCCTTCCTAAGCAAGTAAAGTGATCTTTATATCCACCTACTTACGAGGATAAGTATAGGATTAGTTCGAACCCCATATTAGGGACTATTACGAGAAACCAGCGGACGAATAGTCTATCACCACTACGAGCGTCTTCGGTAGCTATACTAGCTTCCGGAAACACCTCGAAAGGATATTCGGCGATATCGACGTAGCTAGGACGGCCGAACGGAAATTATAGAAGATCCGATAACACACCTTAGCTTCGGTATATGCTTCTAAATTCTAGCAAATCATCTCGTACCTCGACCTACCGGATAGGGCATATATACCGTACTTCGAGGTAGGACTAAAGTTAGATATAAAGGACGAGTTAGCTAGGATCGACCGGCTAGACACCCTCGATCAGCTTATTTCCGTTACGGTTAAGATTAATAACCGTATTAATAAACGTCGGTACGAACGATAGGAAATAGAGTAATAGAAACGTGGCAAATCCTATAGATTTAACCGGTTTAACTATAGACAGCGGGAATAACCCTAGCACTAGGACCCCGATCCGTATAGTCCGAAACCGATAGAACTCGACGTAACCCGAGAAGAATAGGACAAGCGCCGAAAGAAGAACCTCTACTTTATATACGGGAAACTAGGACACCGCGCGAAAGAATATAAGTAGTAGAAGGCACCGTACGGTAGGAAATAATACCTACGGGCAACACGCGAAGAACTACGTGCGATAAGTGAAAACCACCAAGAGATTTTGGGATTATAGTAATTGTATGTGGTTGAAGTACTTCAAATTTGGTATCGTACCTCTCTGTGATTTCGGGCGTCAGGTGGGACCGGGCGTCAAGCGATCACCGATAGTAACATCTGACGCCCCACTTCAGCGTTCAGCACCCGTCAGACAGGTCTCCAGCCTCAGAAGGCCAACAATCAAGTCTCGGAGATAGGTTCAATGAGGCATGTATATCCCAAGACCAAGTGTGTTGCGGGCTAGGTTATCCCCTACGCCGCAAGTTTCCTCATATAGCTACCCCACCTACCGTATAGTGCGGCAGCTGCATAAAAAGGCATCCATAAGCTTTCTGAGAAAGTTTCGCAAATCAAAAAATCTAGAAACGACCAGACCAGAACAATTGTCCAACATTGATGCAACACGCCATGCAGGTCCTAAAAGAAAAGAAAGAAAATAACACCCCGCCGCTAATCTACAGATAACTCCTATTCGAATCTCAGAACAGTTGGCTGCGACCAGTCGACCACTCGGTTGCTGGGAATGTAGCGACATATTCATGGCCATATTTGCAGCGCCTGGGCCGAGCCGCGAAACATTCTCGAGAGAGTGCTCCGTTACCCATTGTTAGTGTATCGCTATCCACAGTCGTAGGTGTTGATTAAGCTGACGTTGGCATCATGTTGGCATCTGCGTCGAGTTCTGGGAACTCGGTGAAGAATTCAGGCGTCATGCACCAGGTATTGAAGGACAGCGCGAATGGCGATATCAGCATCGCGGAGTCCTTGATCTGCCGTAGTTCTCGCACATGAAAGAGTAAATTGACCCAGCATGAGATGCTTCGGAATTTCGCTAAAGAATTGACTGGGAAGAAGCCAGGTAAGCACTGGCCTGGGCGCTTTTAAGAAGCATCAAATTAAACTTCCCTCTGCCTACACAACTGCAATGGATTCAAATCGAAAGCGAGCTGATTCTGCATACAAATATGCCCGATACTTCAATCTTTTGGCCCGGAAGCTAGATGAATACAAGGTTGAGCCAGATAATATATACAACATGGATGAGAAAGGATTTCTTATTGGAATGCTGTTAAAAGGCCTCAGGCTTCTCCAAGCGGAAATATCAGCAAGGAAACTTCAAGGAGCGCCTACAGGATGGGAATCGCGAGTGGATAACTACAATTGCTTGTATTTGCGCTGACGGGACCTCGCTATCCCCAGCGCTTATTTACCAAGCAGCTAGCGGTGATATACAAGATACATGGCTTCAGGATTTTGATCCTTAACACCACAAGACCACCTTCTTTACCTCCTCTACAAGTGGTTGGACAAATGATGAGCTAGTCTTCGCTTGGTTGACCGGAGTTTTCGATCGAGAGACAAAGGAGAAAGCTTGGAGGCGCTGGAGACTTTTATTCCTAGATGGCCATGGATCTCACCTCACCATGAAGTTCTTCAATTACTGCGATGACAATAAAATCCTATTAGTCACTTATCCTCCTCATTCAACGCATTCGCTGCAGCCGCTAGATGTTGGGATCTTTAGCCCGCTTTCAGGTGCCTATAGTGATGAACTAGAGGCATTTCTACATATATCTTTGGGATTAAGTCATATTAAGAAACGGGACTTCTTCCGCCTCTTCTTACCAGCCTGGGAAAGGGCTTTGACAAGCAAGCATATTATATCTTCATGGAAAACTATTGGAATACATCCATTTAACCCAGAGATCATTCTGAAGAAATTCAAAAAGGAACCGGAGTTAAGACCTCCTACCAGCGAGTTATCCCGCTCTATATTAGGTGCAGAAGACTGGAAGCGAATTGAAAGTCTCCTCCGGGGCGTTGTCACAGATGTATACAACGAAAACACCAAGAAGTTAAGATTGACGATGCATCACCTCTCTACAGAGAATATTCTTCTAAAACTCCGTTGCGAAGGCCTAGGAACAGTTCTCCAGAACGAGAAGAAGAAGCGCCAGCGGGGGAAGCCTCTACAATTTCAATTACAAGCTCCAGAGGATGGTGGTGCAGTATTCTACTCGCCTCAAAAGATCCAGCAAGCGCGGGACCTTCAGCTTGAAAAGGAAAGAGCTGCTGATGAGCTAAAGGCCTCCAAAGAGCTCCAAAAGATCTACCGTCAGAAAAATAAAGAGATCAAGCAGCAATTACTTGAAGAGCGCAAGAGAAATCGTGAGCATCAGCAAGAATTACGCCGCTTGGAGGCAGAGCAAAAGAAGAAGGAGAAAGAGGAAGCTCGCGCGGCAAAGGAGGCAGAGAAGCAGCTTCAAAAAGACTTTCAACAAGCGAAGAAGGCTCCGAAGAAGTTATCTAAAGCTTCAAATCTTCAAAAGCCTAAAGATACTGTCCCAGTAGCTCCAGAAGTTCTTGAAGAGGTCCCTCCTACAGTAAATCGACGAGGCCGTGAGATCCGGCTTCCACAGCGCTTCCAGACCAATTAAAATTCATATAATTACTCTATATTATGACTATATTATACCACCGGAAAATTGAGCGACGATATTAATTGTATGTGGTTGAATTGCTTCATGTTCCGTACTGAAGTTGGTTGAAATCGATCGTCAGATGGGGACGATCGTCAGGTGATCACCCACTGTATAAGCACAGGAGGATTCCACAAAAGGCGGGTTGCCACCAAGTATCCACCGAGATGGGTCTCCGTCCCACTAGGCCCACGCTTCGCTTTTTGGAGGTGTTGAACGATATGATAATCCTACTCTAGTCATTATTACCTCACATCAACATATGGTGTCACGCAAAGGATATGGTAAGACGAAAGCTAATTCTAATTCCAGTCGACAATGATCATAACAAGCACTACAAGGAAGAGAGTAGCGAGGAGGATACTAGTGACCACGAAACGTCTCGCGGCGCCGTGAACGACTATGACAAGGGAGAAACTAGCATGATAACCCTAGCGCAAAGGTAAGTAGTACACCTATTATTCAACTGCTTGGTCTAGAAACTAACTTGGTATATCGATAAGGTCCCGGTGAGAGGCTTCCACGATGGCAGCGAGTTTGCCGAGGACAGCAAATTCCAGTTTGAGTTTGATGCTATAAATGGTACATTTCAAGAGGACTTGGAGATAGTACAGTCCAGAGAACTCGATGGCGACAACTGCAATGTCCATGAGGATGATGATAACGTTGATAGCCACCAGCTGATACATGATCTTTCTTCGGCGATTGCTATTCGCAGGGCTGAGCCGGAGGAGCTTGACCGTCTCTCGGATGTATAGCAGGGAAATGAGTAATTCCTGCGCACAGAACCAAGTCACCTGAAGCCGTTCTATGACCGTGTAAGCCCCGTTCCAACCATGCGTCCCCAAGAAAGCTGATCCAAATGTCGAAACTGTTGTTGGAACGCCGATAAGGGCGGTGTTGATAACCACTGCGCAGAGAACAAACTGCAGGATTGGCTGATTGTATAAAACCAGGTGAAGCCGAGAGTATAGGATGACTGACTGTCCAGGGACCAAGAAGTAAAATCCAATATTGGATAGCGCGAGGGCCAACCACAGGGGACCGATGGCAAAAAAGTGCAACAGATTACCGATTCCGCTAGGTATCAACCCAAGGACGGTGGAGAGCAATAGCGACAAAAAGTAGAGTCCCCGGTAGCGGCGGAAAGTGAGGAAGATCAAAATAGTGAGCTCAGCTGCATTATACAGTCCTAATGCAACCAGAACGCCCATAAACACCTTGACAGCCGTGCTGTTGCCTTGGTAGCCCCCAACAAAGCCCTCTGAACCTTGGTGAGGAGAGAAAGAACGTTCTGACATTAAATAGAGTCCTATATCCATTGAGCATTACTCTACATGGCAGAGCAAGACCAGGTTTATATTGACTTACCTCGCAGGGATATCGATTTTTTTTTCAGACGATAGCTTGGCACTGAGAGGTCGTCATAGTTGCTTTGACACTAAACAAAGCGGATTGGATACCAAAGAGATCAAGACGCTTTTGGTTGATGAGATGAATCGACTTTTCTTGCGCAGGGGTCGGGTCGCTCCAGATTCAGCCCCCTCGCTAGTCAACAGCCACTGGCGTCTAGTACATGGATCATCGATAAATGTGGAGAAAAGTGACGAGTGCAAACTTGGAGACAAGCTGTACACATGGAGAAACCAACGCACGCTTGAGCTCTTGGCGGAAGCCCTCAGTTGACAACCTCTCTATCCACTGACAAAATGGCTGACGAGAGAATTGTGCTCCTGAGCATCGCCGAACGGACCCGGTTTGCCTATCTTGAAGACTCAGAGCAATCAGATATCCTATCTTAAAAACGTAAAGTGAGGGGGAGACTAGTGCCGCCAAAATGTGCCTGTCGCTGGCCCTATAGTAGATGCTCAAACTATAGGTTTATCTACATCCAATCAATAACCTCATTCACTCATAAACTAATCTCAATTCATTTGTATTCTCCTATCTCTATACCGCCCTTATGTCCTTATCTTGTCCAATGCTAAGAAGATCGTAAACAGAAATCGAAGCCACGCTAATTGTTACACTCCTGACATGATCTCGGCAGGAGACCGGTCCAGTCTTGCGCACCTATAAACAAGGCCAATATAGAAAAGCAACATGATTTATATATAATTTATAAACAATCTACTGTCGTTTCCTTTGAATTATTGATTTATGCAGAGCTCGTCGTAAACGGTACCAACGCCAAAAGAAGCTGGTCCTCAAGCGGTGGCAAGCTGGCTGCTCACTCCAGATGAGCTAGAGTTTCCGATGCCGAAGAATGATGCCCTTTGGAATGCTAAAGATACTTTCCTGGTCACACTAGGCATCTTATCATGACAGCAATGACAACCGCATTCCATACGGAATAGTAGTGCTATGATTTAGTTCATGCACAGCTCCAGGTAGCTTTCTTTATTTATTTAACCTGTCCTAATTCGAGGCAATAGCTTACCGTAATAGTTGACTTGTTGTGGTTCCGGGGACATGTTACGGCTTCACTCATGAGGTCAAAATTTCTCCAGCACGACTTTTTAACATTTTAGTTCCTTGAGATAATAGCTAAAAATCAATAGAACAGGCTCTTTTGCCACCAGTCACACCGATAATTCGCTGCAGTATCCGTGACCTGCGTACCGAGATTCTCGAGGCTCAACACCTGCGTGCTCGAGTTTGCGCCGTAGATGGGGAAGAAGGGCTGGACAACCGCGTTAGGTGAGCCAGTCATGGTGAAGCTGGTGATGTAGTCCTGCAGGGCGTAGGCCACCGTCGCGTTGACAGGATAGCCTTGGTCGAGGGTAGAGGTATCGCCATTGAAGAAGGTGTAAGGGACATCTACACCGTGGTACCCCGGGGACATGGTAAAGTAGTAGGCTGGGCAAGGATTGATTAATTTTGGTTGACAAGGCAGAGAGACAGGGACATACCGAACGTCTTGTTGTTAAAGGCCAAATTTAGCCATCGCGTGGGGCAGGTAAAGGCTCGGTCACCGGTCAGGAGGGACATGCGTCCAAATTGGGTCGTGTAACCGTATGATCCATCGAAAACAGGAGGGTACATAGTGTTAGCTATATGGTCGATGGCTGCTTCATCCGCGTCAGGAAAGGCAGTTTTTATAACGGCGGCGAAATCAGATTCAGCGAACACAAAGGGATTAGCGAACATGGCCCCTTCATTTAAGTTATGCCCTACCATTACGTTCAAGCCCTTAGGATACTGACCATGTGCAAGGAGCTCTGCGGGAAACTTAGGAACAAATTTCCCATCCACGGCTGGCCCATATGGGAAAGTGCCGTACGGTGCCAGGTAGTTCACGAGATAATTAGTGTTATAGAGGTCTCTCGCTGACAGACGCCGAAGCTGCTGTAGTGTAGTGACGTTCGTCCCTGAAACCAGGGATGCATACTTAAAGGTGAGGAGCAGAACGTTGTCCAGTTGAGCATTGCTGGTGACTGGAAATTGACCAGGACTCTGGGCGATAGCCTGGTTGAAAGGGACTTTCCCCTTCAGGCCACCATATGCTGTGATCTGATGCATCACGCTGCCTCCACCAGCAGATTCCCCCATGATCGTGACCCGGTCAGGGTCTCCGCCGAACTTTGAGATATACTTTTGAACCCATTGCAGGGCAAGCTCTTGGTCATAGAAGCCAGCATTAGCTTCGCCATCAACTTGGAATGTAGGGCCAGAGAGGTAGCCCTATTTTTCGTTAATTTCCGTTATGTTGTTTAGAACTCAACACTTACATAGACACCCAGACGATAGTTCATAGCAACATAGATCATTCCGCCTTTCGCACGAGCTATGAGGCCGTCAGGAGAACCTGTGATAGTCTTACTGCCACTAATGTAGCCACCTCCATAAATCCAAACGAGTACAGGCACTGCTCGACTTAGAAAGTTTACATCACGTATAAAAAAACGAAGAGCTGGGGGGTTGGAACATGACGTACCTTTTTTTTTATAACGATTGTTATAAACCGAAGTCGGCACCATAACATCAAGGAACAAGCAGTCTTCTGAAACTGTGGAATCTGGGCTAGGAATGCTACTGATATTGATATTGGCATTTTCGGGGTGCGACTTATTCACGAGTGCGCTGGCAGGAACCCCAGCTAACATCTGGCTCTGTACTCCAAGCCAAGCTGGACGTGTCAGTAGTCACTAATTCAATAGGGGAATGGCAAATATTTACCTGGACTGGCCTGGGGGCATATGACGTCGTTCTGACCATTGTTCACTGTACGATTAACGGACTTCGGTGGAATTGGAGCTCTGAACCGTAGCTCGCCGGTCGGAGGCTCTGCGTAGCGGATATTATTGAAACTATAGGTTGGAATGCCGCTGCTCTGTGTGTTTGTTAGAGACCCTTGTGGTTGGCTTACCAGACCACATGTGATATTTCAAAGGAAAATGTATGGAAAGCTCACGTTTATTGTTGCCTGGTGCACTGCATATCCAAGATCAACAGTTGGCAATGGACCAACCGGACAACCTGGCTTTGAGCCAGTAGCACCTACCCCAAACCCCAAGGTAAAGATAGCAGTGGCAATAGCTAACACCATCGTATCAAATTGCATGTGGAAAAGATTATCGACTATTGATTAGTACTCAATCACATAAGCATGAAGGTCTAATTGGCAATTCATGCAGCGAAACAGCACTGAGTACACGAATAAAAGGGCTCATAGAACTTACTAAAATATGCAACAAAAGCAATATAAAGTATGAGCGAGCGGTCGCCGACTAACAGTAAGTCGGCGTAAAAGTGGAGCTCTAACAGTATTCGAAGTTGGACAAAAACTAAATCACGACAGAACTATGTCCGACGGCTTGCTGCAGGGTAACAACTACTGTGATACAGTGGATCTCACTGCTCCTTATAGACAAATCTCCAACTATCCTTAACCAAGTTTGTATTAAGCCAGTGGATGGAATCATGCCGCAGCCCGCCATAATCGATCTTTGTGGTTTTTGGGCAGCGCGGAGGCGCGGTTAACGCCGCGCTCTGTATAACCGAGGAAGAACTATATGTTCATATTAAGAGCAAGGTTAAACACGGATGTCATTCCGCACTAAGTGCGGGGTACAAACAGACACGCGCAAACCTTGGGATCAGGTTAAGACCAATTTACTAGTCCTCAAGATAAACCTACAGCACAGTGGCAAGGCCCGTCCACTTCATCAGACTTAGCTCTTCTAGACCAGTAACTCTCTACTATAATCACGTATATGGCAAACGCGCATATAATCCCGCCAAGTGGCCCTGATTCGTGTACGTGCTTGGAAACTTGGCAGATAGATATCTTCTCTCTCAGCGCGGAATTCCGGCTGCGACAGCGGAATAACGATATATACCTCTCCTCTCTTGCGCTATCTTGTCTCAGAAGGAGAGGGTGAGTGTATATAAACCGCCCCAGAATGAGATATCACTATTACCATAGATCCAGGTCTAGACCTTGATCCCCCTATCTTTCATCTCATCTACCCAAAATTTGCTAGAATGGCCGAAAAGAAAACAGCCTCCCACCATGAAACTCTCCCCCACAATCCAGACCTGAAAGAGGGCCAAATAACCGCACCCCCAGATGATGCGCTCGAAAAAAGAATCGTTCGAAAATGCGACCCCCATGTCGTCCCCATTTTAACTATTCTCTTCCTCTTCCCCTTTCTCGACCGGATAAACATCGGCAACGCACGACTTCTCGGTTTGGCTCGGCATGGAAGGTCACCAGTATAATATTGCGCTATTTGTCTTCTTTATTCCATACATCCTGTTTGAGGTGCCGAGCAACTTGTTGTTGAAGAAGATCCGGCCGTCGACCTGGTTAAGCGGCATTATGACTGCCTGGGGGGTTGTTACGGTTTGCCAGGGGGTGACTAAGAGCTTTGAGGGGCTGGTAGCGTGTAGAGTGCTTATTGGGGTTCTTGAGGCAGGATTCATGCCTGGTTTGTCTTCCTCTTTTACTTTCTCAGAACCTGGTGGCTGCTCGAGAAGCGAGACTGACATTGACATTGGTACACCATGCTAGGCAGCGTATACCTAATAAACATGTACTACCGACGCCACGAACTCCAATGGCGCCTTAACTTCTTTTTTAGCGCAAGCATCTTCGCCGGTGCCATGAGCGGCTCCCTCGCATACGCAATCGCCAATATGGAGGGTATTGCAGGGTACAGGTCGTGGCGGTGGATATTCATCCTTGAAGGAATTGCGACGGTTCTTGTTGCGATAACTGCGAAGTTCATCATCTTTGACTGGCCCGAGTCTGCAAAATTCTTGACTGATGATGAGCGTGCTGTGTTGCTGAGAAAAACTTGCAGAGGACCAAGGCGAGGCGCAAATGAATCGGCTTGGTAAAGCCTCGATGAAGAGGACGTTTTCGGATCCCACGATTTATCTTGGGTAGGCTGTTCTCCCATACTCTTCATTTCTCTTTGGGATCGAGAAGAGCTAATAATGTCTACGGGTAGTCTGATAATGTACTTCGGCATCGTGAACACCGGCTACGCAGTCTCCTTCTTCACTCCTACAATACTCGAACAACTCGGCTGGACAGAGATACGTGCCCAAGTCATGAGCATCCCCATCTACGCCGTGGCAATGGTAATTGCGATCTCGGCAGCGTACATCAGCGACCGTCTCAAGCATCGCTATGCTTTCACGCTCACAGGGTGCCTGATTGCCACAATAGGCTACGTACTCCTGCTGAGCCAATCGTCCATCCCCGTCGGGGCACGGTACTTTGCGCTCTTTGCCATAACAGGCGGTGGGTATCTTACACAGCCGATTCTCATGGGCTGGCTGAATAATAACATGGCCGGGCTCTATAAGCAGTCGATTGCGTCGGCGATGCAGATTGGGTTTGGCAATTGTGGTGGGCTTGTTGCGAGTAATATATTCTTTAACGAAGAGGCGCCGGGATACAAGACCGGGTTTGGGGTTAGTCTTGGGATGACCTGGATCTGCGGGCTGTCTTGTTTTGCCTTCTTGATGTATCTGATAAGAGAGAATAAGGCCAGGGAGCAAGGTAGGGGGGATGAGCGGTATGAGCTGCCCGTCGGGGAGAGGGAGAACCTTGGGGATGACCATCCGAGCTTCAGGTTTACTTATTGATTGAGATAACTAACTACTACTATATAAGTTATTCGAGCCTTCAAGATATATCTTGCAACACATAAAGGCAGATCCTATTTACTGACGCCCTCGTTGATCCCTATCACCGAATTCAACCCATGGTCTATATATGCTGTGTACTGCAGGTTTTCCAAGGCTGTTCCTCACCAAGCGACGGAGGGGATAATCTGCATGATCTCGAGTATGGGGCGTTGAGCAATCTTTTTTATCATTCGTATACCAGTGCCAAATGGGAAGTGAGCTGGTTGAGATCGCCAAGAGCCTGCCGCCAAAACGGAAAAGCTAAGCGATTGACTCGCTTCCCGACGCCCCGACGCCCCAAAAAGCATAATCCAGTCCATGGTTTTCGTTCTGCACCCTCCAGCGGCAAAAAGATCGAGTTAAGGGATTTATCTATTGCTACCCAAGGTTTTGGTAGTCCCAGTAGGTCTCGCATAGATACTTGTTTCTAACCAGCCGCCAAGTTGAAGTTCCAAAATCAGTCTCAAATTCGTTGAGCCATCCGCTTCATGATATTACTGAAACAAGTTATGTTACGATTCGAACTTCACCGCGTACGTAATATTCGGTACACCACCAGAACAAGATGAAGGTCTGATTCATTGAATCTAGCAGCGATACTGCGCTAAATACAAGAGATATAGGGGTAACCTGACTATCTAATTAAGGAAAGAGAAACGATACAATAGTTAAATGACCGAGCGGGCGCTGACTAACGGTAAGTTCGGCGTTGAAGCGGAATACTAGCGGTCACTAAAGGTCGACAAATGGCAATAAGTATGATGTCATTCTTTATCTTCATGCGGTAACTTTAAAAGCGGCGCGCATTTGGGTAGCTAATCCTCCACAGCCCAAAACTTAACTATACTCTTATGATGTTGAACAGATTATCTTACTCCACCCCCGGAGTATCTGCAATGCGGAAAACATACTTCATAGCACTTGCTCTCCCGTCCTTCAAATCTCTTAATGCTTCTTCAACCCCTTCGAGACCCCCTGGCCTGATCTCAAAAGGATGGCCAGAGAGACTCCCGTTTTGAAGCGCTCTACTTATGTAGCGGGAAAAGACGTACCCGAGCTCTTCATTGTTTTCGAATTCAGGCTGGTTGTGAACTGAACCGACCGAGGTAACGGATTTAGTCGCGGGAGCCACATCAAAATCGTTAAGCAATATAAAATCAATTTGTCCACCAGGGGCAACGACCTTTCTTAGAACCTCTGCACTCTGAGGAACTATGGCAGCGTCAATTGCGTGCCAGACAGAGGTATGGCCAGCTTGTTCGAGACTGCTGGATATACCTTTTGCGGTTGCCTCTACTCCTTGACGGTAGTCAACTATTGTGTCGCCTTTGCTCCGATCGATAAGACTTTCCACGTAGTGTGATCCTTTCCCTGCAACAGCAATAATGGGATGAACATTGCTATTGCATGCTAGTTTAATAGCGTAAGAGCCGACCGCTCCACTCGCACCATAAACAATAAGTGGAATTGGGTTCAGAGCAGGAGCCCATGGCGATGGCAGCCGGTGATGTGCGTATAAGGATACAGCAGCAGTTAAAGCTGCTAACGGAATTGTGGCGGCCTCTGTTGTATGTTAGTCACCATATAATTATAGAATATCTGCTGGTCGCACCTTCGAAGCTTATGTGATTTGGTAAGTGAAAGGTTGTGTGACTCCAAGAGATTGCATATTCTGCATAGGAACCACCTGGTGTGCACATCTCATGAAATGCTGCGACACGATCACCTGGCTAGAGGACGATTTTGAGAGAATGTCAACAATTGGACAGGAGCTGTACTTACCTTAAACTCAAAAACATTAGAGCCAACTTTTTCGACGATTCCTGCAATATCGTCTCCTTGGTTTAACCCAGCCTTGGCTGCCTGGAACATAGCCAGACCAGAGTCCCCTGCTGCTGCTATATCCGGGATCTTCCAATCTTTGGGATTCGATCCGGAGACTATAACTTTGATAAGAATCTGGTCATCGTTCGGTTCGGGAATCGGACTGTCCACGATCGTTACAACCGGTCCAGCAAAGTTAATGGCTTCTTTCATAGTTTAGAAATGATGAATGTAGTGAAAGTAGAAAAGCACACAGAAAGATTGTTGGCATTGCAATGCAGGGTATTTGCTTTGAGGGAACTGTATTTAATATATAGCAGTTTTGAATTACCATTAATAATCATTGTCATAGAATCACCATTAATAATCAAGCGGCCCCGTATTTCATGACTAAGCATCCAGTGGCCAAGGCAAGCAAGAGTGATTACTAAGGCCTTTATAGAAGTATTCCCCGGTCATCCCACCCGGTAATCCCACCCGGTAATCCCACCGCTGATCACGTCGTCAAAATTTGGGGTGGTGCTTTTGGCCGAGTGTCTGTATGGCCAGCGCTGTTTTGCTTGTCGTGCGCCACCTTCGCTTTCCATTCCTTCGCCCTTCCATGCACCGTCAGCCCGCGCAAGAGTCAGATTCAATGCACATATAACATATCAGCACTGACAAAACTCTGCTGCGCACGGATTCGATTGACCATGTCGTCCCAATCTGGCCTCTTCTCCGCGTTTCCGCTGTTCGAGTGTCTCGCTTCCAAGGCCTCAAGTCAGAGCCAGAAACCCGAAGGCAAACCCATCCACTTCGGTCCCAGTGGGGACTCCGCTAATTTTGCGACGGCGCGGAAAACCAAACCTGGTCAGCTCGCGCTTGCCGTGAGCGAGTCGCGAGGCCGTGGAGCCGAAATTGTCAGGTGCATTCCCCGTGGGCGATTCCCGGGGACCCGGCCTGCGCTCCTCAGCCGATGCTCTGATTCATGCCTGCCATGGGGAAGAAAAATCCACTCGTCGCGTTTTTGAATTTGGAGCGCATGTCCTCGCACGGGCTATAAAGTCTCTGCACTTCCCCTTCCTTTTCTTCTCTTCCTCATTCATCCCCTCTTCTCTCGAGATCGTCCCCCGCCAAACTCTGCCTCTCGACGATCCCTCCCTCACTCTCCATCTTCTCTTCTGTCATAGAAGGCATTGCTTTGCTTAGACTTGCTTAGACTATTCCTTCCCTCATCATGGCTGATGGTGTTGTTGCCGGTGGCAGGGTCGAGGCCCCTGTCACCTGGAAGACGTACATGATGTGCGCTTTTGCTGCCTTTGGTGGTATCTTCTTTGGTTACGATTCTGGTTACATCAACGGCGTTATGGCCATGGACTACTTTATTCACGAATTCTCAGGCAAGGTTCGTATTTTTGGCGCCTTGTGTTACTCCCAAATTTCAAGCTAATCCCTCCTTTTTCTTGCAGGTCAAATCCGACTACGTCGACAACCCTGCAGGCTATGTCATCTCCTCCTCCAACAAGTCGCTCATCACTTCGATTCTCTCGGCCGGTACCTTTTTCGGTGCCATCATCGCCGGTGACCTTGCCGATTGGTTTGGTCGTCGTACTACCATTATCAGCGGTTGCGGTATCTTCATGGTCGGTGTCGCCCTGCAGGTTTGTCTAAATCTTTTTAAGCAAATAATATTCACTAGCTGCGCGCTACTGGAATATCTCACTTTATAACCCTGGACAGGGCCATGGCACGCTAATTTTATATATACCCACCTAAAGATCCATGCATATACTAAATGGTATCACACCAATCCAGTTTCGTGGCACCAAGCCTTATAAAAACGTTCAATAAACATCTTAAAGATACTATATAATAAATTGTTTTTCTCTTTAAGAATGTCTTCTCCAAAGCAGCTAGGTTCACTAATTAAGACGGCGCCAAATTGCCAAACTACCATTTTTGAAACACTATTACCATCAATTTTAGTGGAAAATACGATTGCCCCTTGGGAAATGGTTAAGTATGGTTGTCTATATAACTAGTTGGATCACGTTTTTATTGGCCTATATCCTTTATGAAATAGAATTAACGTGATTAAATTTAAGAATAGGGCACCTGTGGGATTTCTAAGTTGTTGGAACCCTAAGGAAAAAGATATCCTACTCTAGCGCCTGACACAAGTTTTATACTCAAGCTTTTCAGCTTTTAAAGAAGTATTTATCTTAGGAGAAAATATATATTTTCTCTATAGTTACTAGGGTGTTATATTACACTAAACGAACTTGGATTTGCAGCTGTACGAACAGGCGCCAGAGCTTCTAGAGATTGGCGCGAGCATTGCGCTGAGTCCGAATGTAAGCACCGCGAAGTGAGGTGCGGCGATTGCGTACTAACGTAAAGTAGGGGATGCGCACGTTAGAATCTGGGCATCCACGGGACACTGACCAACGAGACTGGCTTTCGCGGTCCGAGCGGGATTCCACAAAACTTGGGGTGCGTGTATTACTAAAAGCCTGGCTATCGGCTGGAAGTCTGTTAAGACTCGATCATTAGGCACTGGAAGACAAACCAAGTGATCTCCGTCGACATCCACAGAGAAGTTCCTGATCCTCGCCATCATACTACGCGCTTCCACCGGGGCCATTTGCATTCGGCCCTCCTCGAGCACGTTCCTCGAGGGTCAATACATCTGAGCAAGAAGCTCGTCCGCGCGGAAGCCGATGAGAAGGTAGTGTCCCTTTACTTTGAAGATGGGACCAGTGCGCATGGCGATATCCTCATCGGAGCGGATGGGTTGAAATCAGTAAGTCGTCTAGGTCCATTCGAACTTGATTCAGCGACGCTAATGAGGAAACAAGAAAGCGCGACAGTCCTTTATCCCAGGGTATAAACTTCGCTTCGGCGGAAAGGTGTTTATGAGGTCGACGTTCGCTGCGACGTTGGTTGAGGGGAAGATCCCCGATTTGCCAGCGGATTCCATGCACTGGTGGGGACCGAACGATAATTTTTTCGCGTCGAGACTTGGTATGATGACATTCCCACCCCGAAGATCTGCATGTCACGGTGCCGCTAAGCCTACACAGGAAAGAACCAGTATACAACCGTTGGCGTATACAGTGACCGCCGCACTTCAATGTTAATTCAGCGGGGCTGTTGACGCCCTTAGGCTTCCGCGACGGTCGCGTGTTAGGGCAGCGACCAAGTAAGGGCATGGCTTCGAGTTCGTCCCCCCGGCGGCGCGTTGGCTGACGAGAGATGGCGGGCATTATTTTGGACAATGCGAGAGATGATGTTTCGGCTGGGGCTCCCGATGCTATTTATCGTCGCCATGACCTTACGTTCACCATAAAGTATTCCTTGGCACATTCAACGCATGTCTTAATCTGTCGTTCCTCACTTAAAAGCTCGCAAAAGGATGAAGATTGTAGTCGGCGGCACGGCCCATACTTGGCGGCGTAAGAAAGTTGATCGTACGCTCTCCCGAGTTCGCTCGCCGTCCCATAGCGTCGTATGGTCAGATGATAGATTGCATCTTGAGAGCTAGGTTAATATCATTTTTCCCCGTTTCTTCCCCTTTACTTTCTCTAATTGACAGTCAATAAAGGGCGTAATAGTCACTCTGCAACCGGGTGCAATTATCTGATTATTGGAAATATAACATGACGGTGCAAAGACACAACGACCGAGAGACATGCTAACGGGTAGTCCATGTATAGGGCGGGAGAAATCGGACTTGAACGGTTGATAAGTCGCGTTTAAATTGAGGGGCAAGTGTTCATTGGGTCCAAACCATCAGAAGCTGGAGGGCCTCTGGGTTAGAACACGTGACCATCGTTGACTGACTACTACCCATCTATAAAAGCCCTAGCCAATTCCCAATAGTTCCGATATCCAGGGTGCATCCTAAACCTGTCCGACTCCTCTACATACTCTGCTCTGATGGACCTACTAGCAAGTGATTCTGCTTGCGAGAGCGAAGATCATTTGCCAAGCGAGGTGAAGAAACAGGCGAGCGAGCAACTGGAACGCGAATTGCAGCCAACCGAAACATACGAGGATGCTCGGAATTTGGAGCATCAGATGAGTGTCATACTCACTATCTCTCCGAGTTATGTGCAAAACTGGGATCCTTCTGCTGCATTCCGGGAGCTGTATCAGAACTGGTAAGGTGAACCCGGCTAACCGTTCCCGACCACGCTAAATACGGGTACTAGAAGATCCCAAGGTCGTCCTCAGGCCGAGGAGGACGCCCAGCCTTCGTAAACTAGGCATAAGTCTCTAGAGCCATCTTTAGGTCACCGATATGCTAGATATTATCGAATAGTATCGTTAGTCGCTCACGTAAGACAGTATCCTTAGTATTCCGGACGTATAGCCCTTACCTCTAAGCTAAGAGCTTAACATATTAGTAGTAGAGGCGCACTCTATCAAACCGGTCCGTCCCCGTCCCGCGTCCTATAGAAGGACGGTCGGCTTGTTTCCCTCTAGAGCCCGGTAGGACTAGATCTTCCGGCGTAGGTGGACCTATACCTAGTGATAGGTGTATAAAAAGCTCGACCGTATAGTATTATTAGGATCACTACTATTATTAACGGTCGTTAGATCAACTTCACACTTAGTGTCGGTATCGGTGTCGGAGTCGGTATCGATAGTAGTAGACGGGGCATATACTATAGGAGTATCGGGAACGCTATAGGTAATATCCATCATTAGGCTTAGGGTTCTACACTGGAATGCGGGAGATGGCATGTTTTCTCGCATGGCGAAAATTGCGCCGCGATTTGCGTTCAGGAGTCAATCACCTCTGCGCTCTTCCTTCAGCTCAATCCGTCCTTATCGAGCTCCAATTGTTCAACGGCATTGGAGATTGGAAGTGCCTACTGTGTGGTTCCTACTCTGGGTTGGATGACGGATTCATCTTGAACAATATCATGTTCAGTTACCTTCGTCACATTCCAATGCTTGCGTTTTGGATGCTTCATATTTCAGAAAGAGATAATCGAACAGGGAGTCTTAGAGAAGGAAAGGCTCCGTCGGAGTGCATTGGAACTTGATAATTGATGATAAACATAGGCAATCGTGTTTTTTATGATTCCCAATAGCATGATTGGAATTGGAAGCACTGAGAATCGAACTAGGCTGTAGGTCGTATATGGCGGCAGCTGATTAACTTTCCTTTTTAATATGATGCCATTAACTGATACTTCTAATATTTAGAATGAGATCCAGCACATGTAGGGACTAACACACTTTCTATTTTAGCAAGCAAAATATAGAATGCTTATAAAATTCGAGCCTATCCATACATTCATATTCACTCAAGCAATTAAGCCAGCATAACGAAAAGAAGAGCTACTAGGGCATCCTCTACGATGACAAGGCATGGAATTGAAGGCTGAAGCTAATATTCCTCCCTTGTCATCTTTGCCTAACATCTCACTTACACCACTTACACCACATCTGTCGTGGAGTAATGCCATGGCAGTTTGTCGCGTTCTCCCACGTTTCTTCACCTCCATCCGCCCGTCGAACCATTTCAACAATATCCTCACTAACATTTATAGTCCCAGCTAAGTAATGTAAAGCGGTATTGCCGTCGATATCCTCTGCCCTGACATCAATCCTTCCCCATTCCAATAAAAGCCGAATAGTTGCATTTTGTGCCTGTTGCTGGGAATCCGTTAGTGGCTGTGGTTTTCGGGAGCCTTCCTGTGGCTTTGGGAACTGGATATGCAGAGGACTTGGCAGTATATGAGGAAACCACCTAGAATCAAGGGTGCGGGCACAATGCATACTGTCCGCGACATCTGGATTATAAAGGGCAGTCTGATTGGAAGTGAAAGGCAACGAAGCAATGTGGAGTAGCGTATGTCCTAGAGCCGTTGTCCCCGCACTACCAAATCCACCGGGGATGGAAGCTGCCAACCATGAAAGAAGGTCTGGATCATGATGTGCGGTTGCAAAGTGGAGGACATGCACGTTGAAAATAGGCGTGCCCAGATTGGGCTTGAGCTGAGGGTGGGATAGTAGATCTACCAGACAGCGCTGCACACCGCTATTACTTAAATCGCAACGGGCGATGATGTATGACAGCGGTGGGAGACTGATGGTTGGAGCCGCGCGAGGAAGATAGTTGGGAGAATACCCGCAGGAGGAGAGAAGGTGCCGGAACATAGATTGATTGCCAGCCTCAATGGCCTCATGAACAGGCGAAGATGTGGAAAGAGTTGATACCGAGTAGCTTGCTTCCTGCACTTGGACTTCTTCATTATCCAACGTGGGTTCCACCCACGCAGACTCATCCGCTCCAGCCGCACGAAGGATGTCAAATATTTCAAGACTACCTATCTTCGCAGCAACCTCTAGTCCTGTCAAAGCCCGGTGCATCCTAAGTCTTTGACCGGGCAGATTTGGCTCCGTCCAGAAACGAGGAAACCCATGGCGCCGTTCATCGAGCTCCGTCTGGGTCAAAGGGCAGAGCTGTTGACTGATGCCTTTTATTTGTGCTTGTTCTAAAACAAGAGCACGACGAGCGCACATACGAAAGCTAGATACATCGTCTTTGAAATGGCGACCACGAATGAACCGGACTGAATAGTCCTCCATATCCCTCAGTTGAATGCCGTTAGGATCTGCGCCCGCAGCCAGAAGAAGTCGAACATTGTGTGGCAGATTGGCGCGAATAGCAGCTGTCAAGGGAGACTCCCAGAGACCATCAATTGTTCCCGACATCGTGTAATTTGGTGAGAGTTTCTCTGTTTGACGGCGTTTCAGATCGGGCAGACTTTCATCATTGCCATATGTTGCGTAATAAGCCAAAATGGCTTCCAGAAGTGCAGGATCGGATTTCTCCGCGGCGCGGATGGTTGGGGTTTCATCTTGTTTGTCCCAGTCGAATTGATCGATGGAGAAACGATTATTGATTTTGAATTGATCCATACGTACTTCGGAACGCGGAACTGGAGAGGGATAAATTTCGGATAAGATTAAAAGATGGAGGATAAACCGATAAACCTTGCGGAGGCCAGAAATCACTTGGCGCTTCGGTTAGAGGCCTGGGCAATATGGCAGAAAGGGAACATGCGTAACTATCAAAACACGATTCTATTGTAATCTGAATACAACACAAGCCACAAAAAGGTTGGAAGGCCAGGCCGTGGGTCCGTGGTGAGTGGGTTGGGGTGGGGGCGGGCTTGCTCCACCTAACAAGCGTCATGCACAAAATTCATATGAAAACAATCTTCGAAGATCTGCATCCTCCGAATCCTGAATGCGAAGGGCGAAGAAAAGGCAACGACGCATCTTGCAGCCCGTCGGAATAGCCTTGGAGAGGATTATTTTATGCCGATGCAGTAATGCATTATACGCCTTGCCACTCCGAGAGGTTGATTTCAGGCGTACTTAAACAATGGAGAGTGGTCGGTTGGTTCCTTGCTTTTCCACTCATATAGCTTCTTGTATATTCTTTTTTGTCCTTCTTTTGTCAATTGTCAATTCACTATGGGTTCAAA